ACGATGATGAGAATGATGATGATGATGATGAGGAGGAGGAGGAGGAGGAGGAGGATGATGATGAGAATGATGATGAGGAGGATAATGATGATGAGAAGAAAGTAGATGAAACACTGGTTAAAAAAAATTATTGCGATATGTTATTAAAAAATACGTACAAAAATGATTTGAAAGGAGAAATATACAAACGGACGTAAAAACGAAAGATGCAACTGAAAAAGTATAAACACGGATGGATGGAGCAAACAAGAAGAGGGAAAATAAACAAGAGAAAACTGAGAGAGACAGAGAGAGAGAGAGTGAGAGAAAGAGAGAAAGAGAAAGAGAGAGAGAAAAAGCGAGAACTGAAAGAGAAGAACTAATAGAAATAATCTTTTCTAAATAAATGTTGACAAGTATTTCGATAAGGATGATTAAATGGGTAGAAAAAAAATTATGTGCAAACAAAAACTAGAAAATAAATGGTATGCGTTTTTTGATATATGTGCATGTGCATGTGTGTGTGTGTGTGTTTGTATGTGATTTGTATGTGTGATTGTATGTGTGTTTGTATGTGATTTGTGTACATGTTTGTATATAGTTTGTATTTGTAATTGTATACAGTTTGTATATGTGTTTGTATGCAGTTTGTATGTGGCGTGTGCTTGTTGTTTGGTTGAGGTTTATTTGTATGTGATTTGTTATATAGGTTTGTATATAGTTATTGTTGTAAAAATATACAGTTTGTATGTGTGGTACTTTGTTGTTTATATGTTGTTTTTTTTGTTGTTTGTATTATATGTTGCTTGTCTGCAGCGGTTTTGTTTTAGGTTTTGTTTGTGTTTTGTATGTTTTTGTGTTATGTACGGCGGAATGATCCTTGGACATAAGAAAGATAAAAAAAGAATGGACATTGGTCAATTAGGATGGACATGTGAGAGAAATGGTGGAGAGATATATCATTGTTAATTAGTTTAAAATAAGTGCTATGTTTGTTTGTTTGTTTGTTCGTTTATTTGTCTGTTTGTTTGTTTGTCTAATTGTTTTTTGGTTTGTTTAATTGTTTGTTTGTTTTTTTGTTTGTTGGAGTGTATTTATGTTTGTATGTATGTTTATTTGTTTGTTTGACTGCTTTTTGTTTGTTTGTTGGATTGTATGCTTGCATGTCTGTTTGGTTGTTTCTTTGCTTGTTTGTCTGTTTGTTTGTTTTATTGTTTGTATGTTTATTATTCTGCCTCACTCTTTCTTTCTCTCTTTCTCTCTCTCTCTCTTTCTCTCTCTCTTTATCTCTCTATCTGTGTGTGTTTGTGAATGTATAAATATATATATATATATATACATACACACACACACACACATACACACACACAGACACACACATACACACAAAAGTACAAACATACAAACAAACAAACAAACGATAAATTATTTTTTGTTTTTTCACTTTTAAAAAATACTTGAATAATAGATGAAATGTTTCTTTGAACTGTTTGTCAGTTTTTGAACGTGTTGTTTTGTGAAATAAAAAACTTTTTTATTTAAATGATGGTGATGGTGATGATGATGGTGATGGTGATGATGATGATGATGATGATGATGGTGATGATGATGGTGATGATGATGGTGATGATGATGGTGATGGTGATGATGATGGTGAGGATTTTGACGATGATGGTGAAGATGATGGTGAGGATTTTGACGATGATGGTGAGGATGATGGCTAGGATTTTGACGATGACGTTGTCGCTTATCCATGAAATAAAAATATCAAAGATAATGATAGTATCAAAATGATACAGACTATATTAATGATAGTGATGATGTTGAGGATAACTTTGTAGTTTATTATGGATATAAAGAATGATATTAAAGATACCGTTGATAACAAAGGAGATATAGATCATAAAAATGATGATAAAATAGATAAAGACGATGATGTGGTTTGTTGATGAAATATATATATATCTATATGTATCTATATTTATATATCTATATATCCATATATATATATCCCATTTTTGATCGTGCGAATGCCAGAAACTTATTATTTCAAAACTTTCCGTTCGTTTTTGAGGCCAAAAAGTTATTAACTCACACGCACTGCTAAGTCGTTGTTGTTACTGTTATTTATTATTATTAATTTTGTTGTTGTTCTTATTATTATAATAATAATTATTATTATTATTTAACCGTCGATGATAATTAATAACACTATAACAATGAAAATTGAATAAGATTATTATTATTATTTTTATTATTATTATTAATGTTGATGTTTTTGTTGTTGTTGCTGTTCATAATTATTATTTTTATTTATATTATCGTAGTTAATGTTTTTGGCTGAGTTTGAACTCCCAAATAGAAGTAGACGCGTAGTTGAGAGTTAAGTAGGAGTAAGCAAAGAAGAAGTATAGACCAGACACATGTAATAACATTAATAATAACCATAATAATAATAATTAATAATAATAATAATAAATAATAATAATAAACATAGAACAATCAATTAAGCCAAAGAAAGTTCTGACAAAAAAAATATGAATGTAGCAGTTAAGAAGAGTTTAGTTGTTTTTTCCCCCAACTCGTTCAAAAAATCATGTACCAACGTCGTTACGTTATAATTAACGCGCTGCCAGTACTTACAAATTAATTATGATATGTGTTTGTATGTTTGCATTTGTATGTGTGTATCTGTGTTTGTGTTTGTATGTGTGTATCTGTGTTTGTGTTTGCGTTTGTATGTGTGTATCTGTATCTGTGTTTGTGTGTGCGCGCAAGTGTTTCTGCGTGTGTGTGTGTGTGTGTGTGCGTGTGTACAGTTAATTATACATAAAAATAGTTGTGTAGTTTTGGGTAAGGTTGTATAAATAAATGAAGCTACGCACACACACGCACGCACACAAACACACACACATACACGCACAAACATATCCGTACGAACACACGCACGCACGCACGTACACAAACATACACGTACACACGCAGGCACGTACGCACACACAACAAAACTTACTATAAACCCAAGACTTTGAAGTATACAGCAGTTTCTTATCCAGCAAACTCTTCACAATCAATGGCTCCTGCCTCATGGAGTCGATGTACATGCTGGTGTAGAGGTAGCCCTCTGACGTCATCAGGTAGGTGTGCTGGTCGTGGGGGTAGTGTGGGATACGCCCTTTGTCGGGAATGCTGTTGTTCGTGCTGGAGAGATGTTGAAGCTGGTGGGAGAGGGGAAGGTATGAGTGAATGAGAGTGCAAATGTGAATGAATGAATGAATGGTTGAATGAATGGATGAACGAACGAACGAACGGACGAACGAACAAACGAACGAATAAATGAATGGTTGAATGAATGGATGAGTGAGTATGAGTGAACGAAAGATCCTGTTTGAAATGAAGAAAAACAAGATAATGATACTAATGATAATTGATAAATAATGACGATGATAAAATGTAATCAATGGAAAGAGATAATCACCGAACGATATGTACACATTGGGTTGTGAGCAGACGAGCCACAGGCAAGTAGGGTGTCGTTGTAAACAACGACAAGCTTCACGTAGTTAGAACAATCCTGTAGTGGAGGTGGTGTGGTTGTTGTGGTGTGGTCGTTGTGGTGTGGTCGTTGTGATGTGGTTGTTGTGGTGTGGTTGTTGTGGTGTGGTTGTTGTAGTGTGGTCGTTGTGGTGTGGTTGTTGTGGTGTGGTTGTTGTGGTGTGGTTGTTGTAGTGTGGTCGTTGTGGTGTGGTTGTTGTGGTGTGGTTGTTGTGGCGTGGTTGTTGTGGTGTGGTCG